TTCTGTTACATGTTTTGTACAATATGGGAAATAAAATGTTAATTACAAAAAAAAAAGATCTGGCTCCTTAAGATACATTCTTTGATACAATATTTTAAAATTTAGCATGCAAATATCTTGCTTTTTTTGTTATAAGATAAACAAAATAAGCAGTATCTCTAAATAAAATGAGCAGTCGCAACGTTTAGGTTCTTTCCGTCAGTTTCGAGATAAAGATTATAAATTATCGGCGAGGTGTTCCAAATGTAAAATGAAGAGTTAATTAATCTAGTGAGAAAATCGGTTTGATATCATGGTTATGACAACTGCATGTATATACACATATAACAAATATGCAAACCAACAAACAGCTACCTTCTAAAGCTAAAAAAAATACGATCATTAACTTTTAAAAGAAGATACATTTTACATGGCGAGTAAGTTAAAATATACTGTAATTTTATATATTATATATATATATATATATGACTGGGGAGGACGTATACCTTGATACATCAAGCATGCCGGGAAAAAAAGAAACTGGATATATTTGCGCCAAAATTGAAATCACTAAATAAAGATACGAAAACGACTTTCACATAGTTGGTTTTTATAACTTAAAAAGCTATTTATTTTAGATTACTGAAAGTTTATAACGTATAACGATTTAGCGATAGTACCTTACGAATTCATATGTAGGATTGTTGCGAAACGGTCATAACTTATATGATATAAAACCAGGAGATACAATCATTTAGCGCAGACGTTTATGAAACTTAAACCATTAAATAATATGAATTGTTTTTTATATATTTGAATATTTGTTTATTAAAAAAAATTATTCGACTTTAGAAAGTAATTTGTAATGTTCACAAGATGATTACTTTCACAATTTGTTTTTAAAAGTAATTAACTAAAAAGTAAATTGCCAGAAAATTAATTTAAAACGAGCGAGTACGAGTTTTTATGTTAGATATGCACAAAATCGTTATGCCTTGATAAAAGTGAAGATTTTTATATAAGGCTAAATATGCCCAGTAACCTTTGTAGTTATATATTTTAATAACCAGTTACTTAATTTAATTAATATTTCCTGTTTAATGAATGATAAAATGCGAAATTTTATTTATAGTGATAACCATAAATAAGACAGGATAACATTTATAAATGCAGTAACTACCCCTAAGGGTAGACATGTGTTGATGTGCCTACCTGCGAAAATGCAGGTGTATAAGTGTATTTCAAATTTGAAATTATCTACGCATTAAGAAAATAAATATTGTAATACAAGTTTTATAACACAACATTACTTCACTGAACCCTATAATCAAGAGTTTCATAATGATGGTAATGTTGTTGTTTTTGTTACTGTTACTGTTGTTGTTGCTGTTTCTCTGGCTGCTGCTGTTTCTTGTTGTTGTCGTTGCTGATTAAAGTTTATTTATTATTTATTTTATTTGTTTATTCATTTATTTTTTTATTCATTTATTCATTCATTTTATTTATTTATCTATTTATGTATTTATTTACTTATTTATTTATTTATTTTATTTTTTTAAATTTAATTTATTTATTTATTTACTTATTCATTCATTCATTCATTTATTCATTCATTTATTTATTTATTTATTTATTTATTAATTTATTGTTTTTTATTCATTTATTCATTCATTCATTTATTTATTCATTTATTTATTTATTTATTTATTTATTTATTTATTATTTATTTATTTATTTATTTATTTATTTATTTATTTATTTATTTATTCGTTCATTCATTCATTCATTCATCCACTCACTCATTTATTTATTCATTCATTTATTCATTCATTCATTCATTTATATATATATATATTTTTTTTTATTTATTTATTTATCTGAACTGGAAATATAAACGATCATCGATGAATTGTATTTAAGACAGAACCGCTTCAACTTTTTATCATTAAAAATAACACAATGGAATGATAGAATGAACCGTTTATATCGAAGTTATATCGGCCAAACTATGATAGAAAAATATATTTATATCATATATATAGAGGACATTTCAGTATTTTACGATAAATAGAGGATTTTTTTTCATCGAATTGTATGAAAATAAATATTTCATGAGCGGTGGCAGCCACGAGTGAAATATAAAAGTTTTCAAATCACAAGATTAAAATAAATCCTGAATTTATGGAAAAAAAACTTGAATTTTCTGTTTGTTATATGCACGTTTCTCTTTCTGACATTACAATTTGAATAACTACCCCAAAAACTTTGTGTTTTGGTTAAATTTAAAAGAAAGTAGTCCGACATGACACCAGTGGAAATACGGAATATATGTTTCACTGCAGTGAAAAAATATTTTTTTACATTAAAAATACAGAACAAATACGCATTTTTTTTAATCAATATTTCTCGATATTTCATTTATAAGTATAGACATACTGCGTCAATTGTGTTCATGTGATTATTCTCCATTTACAACTTTCATAACCATTTTTATTCTCAAATAAACTTTAACCTTGTATCATGTTTAAATATCTTCAAACAAGCCATTACATTAAACATCTTAAAATAAGATTAATAAAAAAGATATATTGAGCAATGCAAATGATGTGACAGGAGTTGCCTCGTAAATCAAGTTTTAAATTTACACGCTTTAATTAAGGTATGCATTTAGTAAATTAATTTAAAATTACAAACCAGTTTTATTAACTATTATTTTCTATCTACGTTGGCGTTGAGGATAGGCCATTGTTAGAAAAGAGTGTGATTTGTAGACTAGACAAGTCACTATGAACATAAATCTGGTGCAAATAGCAATATATTGTTAGCGGTCCCTAGTATTCATGATATTAGAGTATATTTTAAAGTGAAATAGTCTGTAATACCATAAATAATAATTATGTTGATAGTAATCAGTATCATACCTGAAAACAAACCGCAAAATAATTATATATGGATGTTGTTTGTTAGTGTTAGATACATGATCCGATATGACTTGTCAACAAATATATATATAGCTGATAATAAATTGTTCTAGAAAAAATATTATTACTCATCATATATATATTCATAATAAGTCACTTTAAAACTCGACATTTTTTTTTTTTCAAAAGTATTTCGTAACATTATCAGAATTGTAAATTTTTACTGTTTTTATCAATATTTTAAATAAATATGGAAAATGTGCGCCTTGTACACCAATCTACTTTAAATAACTTCAATAATATTCATGAAGTGAACTGTCATGAAAAAAAATGGATGCATTGACATGTTGACTGTAATCATTGTATTGTGCACAAGTAAAGTAATTTTATCTATGCTATGTTATTACAGATATCACTTTATAATAAATTAATTCCATCTTATTCAGGCGGACAGTCAATAGAACGCAAATGTAAATTTACATAAATTACCATAAATTACCATAAATTAGACAGGATAACTTTCACAAATAAAGCATCTATACAATAGGGAAAACAAGTGTCGCTACGCCAATCTGTCAAAATGCATGTGTATTAAGTTTATTTGAATATTAATTTATTTACGCATTAAGAAAATAAATAATTGGTATAATACAAGTTCTGTTACACAAGAAAACAAATTATCAAAAGGTTAATCGTGTCTACGAGATAATAAAATGTGGGGGAAAATCAAGAGGCTGTCACGTGGTTGGAGATAAAGGCCTGGTCACACAGCCCGAACTTTGTTGTAGCGTTCCTTAAACGGTAGGGAGAGGGACAAAAAATAGACAACGCTCGTTACCGCGCACAAAATGGGAAAAAAAATCGAAAACACGGGCGTTGCCTTAGCGGTGTACCGCTGCAGTTGGCGTTGTTATAGCTTTGGCTTAACGGTAGCGAGCGTTGGTTTAGCGATGACACCTCCATACCAACGCCAAACCAAAGTTTATTACCGCAATGGACCGCTGCTTCAACGCCTGACACCGTTCGAGCAATCCCGAGACCGCTCGTTAAATGCTTGAATCCGCTCTGACAAAGTTTGTACAACGTTTAATCACCGCCTGGGTAAAGCTGTGGTGGTCCAGCGTTCAAAATTTCACGAACTTGCGTCTAGCGGTGCCAAACTTTGACTGGGCGTTGTCAGAGCGGTGGTGAACTTTGCCGGAGCGGAATATTTCCCGCTCCTCACCGCTCGCAATATTTTGTGCAGCTCAAAACTTTCGGAGCGGTAGGAGGGACCATAAGCGGTGACCGAGCGTATACGGCGTTGCCTTAACGGGGGCCAACTTCTGGTGAACGGTAACGAGCGGTGATGATTTTTTTTTTCACCGCTCCAGGAACGCTCCAGCAAAGTTCTTGCGGTGTGACCGAGCCTTAAATAGTCAAAGGATAGATTCGTGTCTACGAGATGGATAAAAGGAACACAAACATTTACTCGTGATCCTGTTTTAACAAAACATATTCCTTTGTGACCATTAATTAAAAACGTTTGGCAACTGGATAATAAAAGAGTGTTTCCTTTGCATCTCAACTATGACGTCTAAGTGCTTGGTCAGAAGTTCTAAAAATTTTAATGTTTTAAGCTTAAACTCAGATCGCGGGTACCAGATCGGCCAGAAACTAGTATAATTATTATAATGTATACTGAACGACTTGACACAGAGCTCAGATAAAAAATATTTTTATTATCTCGAGACTTAACGTGAATTGGTCTATAAGAAAACGTTTGTCATACAATGAAAAATTTCGTTGAACGTATTTAGTGTCAGACCACGAAGGACATATTGAAACATGATCAAATAGTATATATAATTATATAGCAGATAATAAAATGTTCTAGAACAAAATATTATTATTCATCATATAAATGTTCATTCTAAGTCAAAGAGAAGTATGCCAACATTTTGTTCAAACAACTCTTAATAAGATAACCAAATGATATAATTATATTGTTTTTCTCAATATTTGAAAATTTTACGGAAAATGTTCACATTGTAGACTTATCAAATTTTAAGAAAAGAATAAGGATAAAGAACTGAATAAGTTTAAAAACATTTCTCTTACCTAATAGTTGAGCCAGAACAATTCCAAAGAGCGATACAATAACCAAAGAATTCATTTTGCCGACTTATGAAAGGGTGAAATTATATGTTACAAAACTGTTTCTCCTTTTTACCCTTCTCGCTTGATTCAGTTCATTTACTTAAGATTCGTGATACAGTGGATACATTTGAATAATTTTTGATAAATCGTTTCATTTACGTAATTGTGGAGGCTGTAATCAGTTGTTAAATCATCCGTGAATGTATTATATGTACTAAGCTGTGCTCTGTTTGGTTTTTAATGATAATTGAAAACCATCTAGACTAGTTTAAATAATCATCATTGTTAGCTTTTTAAGTATTAAATATTTTATTATCTTGTTTTTATAAATTTGAATCAATACAAAGGTCGACATGAATGTGATGAAAAAAATGAAAACTCAATTTCTACATCACGTTTATTTTTATTAAGGCCTTTAATTGACCTAACAGTCTAAAATATTCGCTTGTAAAAATTTTAACCAAATTGTAAATATGTAACTTTATATTTTCGTATCTTAGAGTTTTTTTCGATAATGCTGTAAAGGTATTTTACTGCAACTATTATAATATTAATAATATCCCTACTTTTTTGCTGCGTGTATGAGTTAGTTTGTCATGTAATTGAGTTAAGCGTGATGTACTTTGTCAACGATTTGCATTTAGCTTCTTATACCACTTCTAGTTTGGCAAGCAATCGATGCTTTCACATAGCAATTGTTATCTCCCCTGGTCGACATTTTAGGGCCATTCCCAATATATGATGATGAAAATTAACTTATTGTACCGTTGTTTCTTTACCTAGGAACCTTTCTAAAATGTTAAATAGGCTTTTGTAAAATTCAAAAAGTGTAATCAGTAATTATATGTAACATTATTTCAATAACTTAAGTGGTTCAGGTAAATTTGTTCTGCAGTAATATTTTATAGAAATATCAATCTGTAGGTGACTTCTTTATTGCGTGTTTGCTTAAATTTTGGTCAGGAGTTGGTTTTACTTGCTGTACCTAGCATGGAAATTGCCTTCCGCTTGTTGTACCGTTACCTTTTTTACATCACGAACTAATTTCTCATAAAAAACATTCTTCACAAGAAAATCTAAGTGCGTGTTTGAATCATAGCTTATATATTATATATATCATATTTATAGCCGCTATAATCATTGCATATTTAAATGGTTAAATTTAATAAATTTTGTTTTAAGTAAATGTAATTCACATGCTTATTAACTATATACGTACACTGATTCAAAAATAATGTTAAAACAATGTTATGTTAAGAAATTAATGTTAAAAAATAGATATTGTAGTAAACTCGTAATACCTCGATTTCATGTTTTCATTCATAAACAAACAAGCAAGAAAATAGATTAACTTAAGACAGAACAATAATTTAATTCTAAAGATAATTAAATTATAAATAATAAATTCCATGACATCAGTGTTTTCAACATAAGTTCATACACAAATAATTTATATTCAATAAATAGAGGAGTCTTTAATATACGCTTAGTTATAACAAATTAGACTATGCAAGAAGACGGAGGTTGACAATAAGTGTTTACATTGAATTTATACATGTATGTAATATAAAAAACGTGTTTTCTTTTTGTTTTTTTATAAATCCACACGCTAAAAATAGGTCATCAGTAGTATATTTTTATAAAAATTATTGATTACAAACCTGATAAAACAAGAGTACTTACATACGAGTAACGATGAAAAAATGACATTTCATGTCCTTTATATTAAAATGTTCTGTTTCAGTGCGCTTTTCATCACTTAGTGTCCCATTTGTTCCGTTTAATGGTTTTATGGTGTTTTAAAAGTAATATTGGTTTTATCCATACCTATTTGAAATTATTATCAACATTCACTCAACAGCAATGTATTTTTATAAAAATTATTATAATTAGAAACAATTTCATTTTTAAATTATTTTAAATTAAATAGGATAGTAAACTTGTAGTGTGAAGAAGTAAACATTTCATTTCTTTCACATAGTTTATTTGTATATTATAATAAAATCTTTTTCGTTTTTCAAAAATAAAGATTTTTGTTTTGTAGGTATTATTCTTAAAACCCCATTTCGAAGAAAACATGTATAAACTATTTAGCTGTGCTTGTAGAACTTTTTAGGATTAGTAGTTAACAGAACTTTGTCGTCTGCAAAATGTTGCTTATACATACATAGCAAGTTTAAGACATTTACGCCCATTTTACTAAAGTATTAGTCCAGACAACTCATGATAAGATTTACAAAAAAATGATAAAAAGTTTTGGCGAGAGTGGTTTCCCTTGTTTTAATCAAAGTGGAGCATAAAAATAATTGAAAGTAAAATTTAAGTAAAGAAAGATTAAAACAAGATTAAGCTTTATCATATAAAGAATTATCATGTTATTCTTACAATAAATGCCAATGCATAGATCTCTGACCTGTTTAATTCTAATTATCAGATTAGTGGATACAATAATAATTTCACCACAACATGTTTGTTAATTAAAGAGCACATGTCAATGTTTGTGGTTAAATGTATTGTTATTCAAGTCAAAGGTTAGATCTATTTATATTATACAATTTTATCTATAAAGCATCTTTAATAACCGTATCAAAAGCTTGTTTCATAGTCAACGAAAACGCAGTTAATTAAATGGTTTTTCTCTCAAGAATCGGGCTGGTATTCATATAAAAGCACTATTCCTTGCCACTGGTTCTTGTTGCTGTGGCGTGTAGAAGTTGCGTTCGTGGAACGCCGCGTTTCCTTGTTAATCTTGTTAATCATATATGAAGCCTACCCCTGAGAGTCAATGAGAATTTATTTGCAATGATATTTACTCAAGTAATGCCTCAATAATTAGCCGGATAAGAATAATCACAATTCTAATAAATTAATGCTATCATACCTTTACACAACTGCTCCGGATTACAACAAGAATAAAACGATCTTATTGAACATGCTTACTAAGTATGGGGTAATAAAAGAATTTGAGTCTTTGAAATAAATAGAAACATTTCCGGTATAATCATTACGTCTATGTCTTTGCAGACTAGATATTGTTTTTGAAATTTCTTCAATTAAAAATGGCTGGCCTAAATCATCAATTTCTACAGATTCTCCTGACATAACTCTTTCTTATGTGGACTCTCCAAGTGAAGTATTCGAAACTTCTTTGACTTAAATCGTCCATAGAAATATTAATATGACCGTTTAATTGTTGTTTTCCTTTAAACATTTTTATAAACATGTATTTCCAAAATATACGTGAAATAGTTTTGCATAGACAGTTATGATGTTTTTTGTTGTTGTTGTTTTTTTTTTCTGGAATAATAATGGCTTTTAGCCTTTAGTTTACTAGTTGGGTATGAATTCATTTGCTCTAAAAAAAATCAGCTCTATAACTATAAGATGAATTTTCGTTGAAAGTCTTTATATGGCATTATAAAACAATGATTTAGCATTTTGCCGTGATTTAATTTTGTTAAAACCACAGTAACTTTGTTATTTTATGATTTCTACGTGAAAAACTTGTAACTAAAAAGATGAGACTTAGTCAGAAATAACATTAATTAATTTATTCATACATATATCAATATAACTTTAAGAAAACAGCTTATTTGTAATTTTATATTATTAATATAAGGTTCAATTTACTATTGGATTAAGGTCACCAGTTTGAAACCGATCCCCTGTCAAGCTGTGCCTGCGTACGTCACTGCTTATCTTCTTAAAAAAGTCAAACTTATACAACTCGAAGATATGTTTTACAGTCACAGAAATATGTATCATTTCCAAAAGAAAAACTCCTTTGTTATTCTAAATCAATTTATTATCCGTGTAATTTTATGTTAACAAGTCACTTTAAGCAGCGATCAGTAATAAATAGCCATCCAAACTGAGTATGTTTGCTACTGTTATACAAAGATAGGGTTTTCAACAAAATAAAATTGTATTTCTACTACAGATATTACATAGGACAATTGGATCAAAAACCAACACAAATTTAAGTATCAAAACATGTTTCGCTTTATTCAGCTTCATCTCACAACTATTATGCGTTCAATGTCATTTTCACTCTTGCATGGCACCTCAAACGGGGCGAAAATGATTACGTTCTTTAAGACTTTGCACAAAGTTAAAACAATACTTTAAAATGTCGATAGTGTGTCTTGGGAAATTACGTAAGGTTACTGCCTTAACATTATAATTGACAGCAGCCATGTATACTGTTAGTTATAAAGATTTTTGGCAGGTTATATGGCCCTATATAAATGGTTGTTTGAAAATATTACCCGAGCCGCTTTGAACATCACGATTATCAAATGAAATGCGACGTTACAGAATTGCAGTATTAAACGTCACGTTTATCCAATGAAAAGCAACGTGACAAACGTGCGGTAGTATAAATCAAAGTATTAACACGACGAAGGCAATAACGGGCAACATCGATGTTACTGCTGTTGTTGTGTGAGCAATGCTCCCATTACACATATGTCCTTTACATACACAAAGCACTAGGTGTCTTTCTTTGTTTTTACTGCTGCTGCTGCTGCCGCCGCTACTGCTGCTGCTGCTGCTGCTGTTTTTGACGGTTCTGCTACCGCTGATCGTTGTGCAACCTACAGTTTTTTCCTCTTGTATGCATCCTTTGCTGATAACTTGAAGTTTGAAAAATGAATGAATAAACGAAATTATAAAATGTTTAAAGATGATTTCCATACTAGCCAAGACAAATGGCATCTGTTAATGCACAAAAGTAATATTTGTATAATGAGTAAAGAAATGTCTTGACAAGTTGAAAATAATTAGTATTTTCTTTCTGTTTTCCTTTTACAATGTGGCCATACCACGTGAATTTGCGGGTACGGAGCACGTTGGTTTTTCACCCGATTCAGGTATGTTTTTATTTATAACTTATTTATTACTCAACCGCTTTTTATCAGATATGGCGAAAATGCGATTACCCGAAAAGTCACATGGTATGGCCACATTGTTTTATTTACTAATAGTTGTTTTTTTTAAACGTTTCCTTCGCAGAATGTCACAGTTGGCATGAATGAATATATTATCAGGATACACGTTTTGTACTAGATTTACACTAGAAAAAAATTATCAAAAACAAATTAGAAAAGGAACCTACCACCTGTGTCATCAACTGCC